TACTTCACTTTTGATAATACCGTATTTTTCGCTCTGTAAGACACACCAGACCATAAGACGCACCTAGTTTTTGGAAGAGGGAAACACGGAAAAAAAATATTCTGAATCCCAGAAACCAGGACAGCAAGCAGGATCACTGCGCAGCTTATGGGATAGCCCCACGCAGCCTCTCCCGGGCAAGGGGAGCCTTCATCTCCCTGACTGGGAGAGGCTGCGTGCGGCTAAGGCTCCCCCACACTCCACGCTGCTCTTTAAAGGGAGCGCTGAGCAGAGCCTCCTGCCTGCATTCGCTCCATAAGACGCACACACATTTCCCCTTACTTTTTTAGGAGGGGAAAAGTGTGTCTTATAGAGCGAAAAATATGGTACATTCTTCACCTGGTGAAATAAACCTGCTTATGCTATTGTTCAAAGTACAGGACCACATTCTCAAGGTCTAACTTGAATCCACAACTGGATTTCACATTCAAAGAAATTGCTGCTTTAAATGTCCATTTTAATGAATTTAGAGGAAAACAAAGCAGAGTTTAAACACAATGTGCACCATTTCTCAGGAGAGGAGTTCGACACATCTATACTTACTCCAGTTCGGTGGCAGATAGCCCCAGGATTTGCCATCTTCCAGGCCTGTAGTGAGCCCATTGGCTTAGTAGCAGGATTTCCCCAATTTTCATCCAGGATCCAGATGGGTATGAAGGCCAGAGGCCACTTACAGGCCACTTGCATTTCCATTTACAGGGCCAAGCAGCACTTCTTCATTCCACCCACCCATGCCCAAAGTGAAGATGATGTCCACAGGTAAGGTTGTGAGAAGGTATGGTTGCATTGCCAACCAGACCAGGTCCTTCAGGGAGGAAACAGTACTGGGGCATGACAACAGTCTGCCTTCTCATAGCACTGCTTGGGCAAGAAGCATAGCTGGCTTAGATCAAAGTCCAGCACTGTGATCCTGCAGTGGCCAACCAGATGCCCACTGGACATGCGCAAACAGTGCTCTCCCCACCTTCAGTTCCTAGCTATTGGTATTCGGAGGCACCCCGCCATACGGACATAAGAAGAGCCTGCTAGATCAGGCCAATGGCCCATGTAGTCCAGCATCCTGTTCTCAGTGTGGCCAACAATCAGAGATCAGGAAAGCTAAAGATGAAGAAGATCTTCTGGAGGAAGGACTGTAAGTATACGTCTATGCTGGGCCTCCCACCATTACTTAGCACATCTGCTGCAAATACGGATGGATGAATTTATCTATTTCCAATCCCTGACACTTTTGTATGTGTTCACCATTAATTGAGCAACAGTTTAAGGAGGATATTGACAAGCTGGAATGTGTGCAGAGGACAGCGACAAGGATCAAGAAACCAAGCCTTATGACAAACAGTTCAGGGAGTCGGGTATGTTTAGTTTTACATATACAGTGGTACCTCGGTTACAGATAGGTAGCCGTGTTGGTCTGCCATAGTCAAAACAAAAAAAATTCCTTCTAGTAGCACCTTAAAGACCAACTAAGTTAGTTCTTGGTATGAGCTTTCGTGTGCATGCACACTTCTTCAGATATCTGAAGAAGTGTGCATGCACACGAAAGCGCATACCAAGAACTAACTTAGTTGGTCTTTAAGGTGCTACTAGAAGGAATTTTTTGTGGTACCTCGGGTTACATACGCTTCAGGTTACAGCCTCCGCTAACCCAGAAATAGTACTTTGGGTTAAGAACAGAAATCGTGCTCTGGCAGTGTGGCGGCAGCAGGAGGCCCCATTAACTAAAGTGGTGCTTCAGGTTAAGAACAGTTTCAGGTTAAGAACAGACCTCCGGAACGAATTAAGTACTTAACCCGAGGTACCACTATAAACAAATTGTAAAAATTAGTAAGCAGTACAATGGGCTGCACAAGGTAACATGAAGGCCACATTCATGCCATACATTTTAAGCATTATGGTGCAACTTTAAACAGAGGAGCTGTTTTTACAGCTCTGTGAGCTGTAGTTTGTAGTGCTGAGAGTTGTTAGGAGAGCCCTGCTCTGCTCCCAGAGCTATAATTTCCTGAGCAGATTAACAATCAATCAATCCCTCTTCCCAAGGAACTCTGGAAATTGTAGTTCTATGGGTGGAAACAGTGCAGTGAAACCACCTGCCAGATGTCAACAGGCAGGGAGTCCCAAAGTATAGGTGCTACCACATTAAAAGATCAGTTTCTTACAAATGCAGAGGGAACATTATGTGGCTGTCAAGGCAGAGGAGGAATGGTGGAGACCGCCTCCCCAGCCTGACCCTTCCAGAGAAGAAGGAGACAGTTCAGAATTACAACAGGGGGTTGAGGGAGGTCACAGCTCAGAGGCAGATGAGGGGGAAAGCTGGGAAATAATGAAAGAGGAGGAGGAGGAGGAGGAGGAGGAGGAGGAGGAGGAAGAAGAAGAAGAAGAAGAAGAAGAAGAAGAAGAAGAAGAAGCAGCAGCAGCAGCAGCAGGGGAGAGACAGCTGAATGACTCAGTGTCTTTAGAAAGCATTCCAGACCCCCCCCTTCCAGAACCCGGTGGGCATTGAAAGTAAGAGAGCAAAGAGCTCAAAGACAGAGGGCACTTTCCAGCACCCGCAATGATGACTCATGAGGAAGTGGGAGAGATGGAGGGGGTGGGGTTTCACTTGGAGCAACACCATTACTAAAAGAGGCCACATTCCCAAGCTTTTCTCTGTGAATACAGCAGATGGTAAGGACTTTTTCTTGTCTTGTCCGATCCTGGCAACCTGCCAGGTTGGTTCCTCTGCTGTCTGACAGTAGTATCTGTACTGGTGTCAGTTCTGCAGACTGAAGTGGTTGGGTGAGGTATATGATGTAAGGCGATCTCGCATGGAATAGAATATATCTGAGAATAGCCGGTACGATTTCTCACATCTTTCTCACACCCACAAAGACAATGTAGTTATGCACCTACTTCTGGGTAAGTCCCACTGCTTCCCACAATGACCCATTGATTGTTTGACAATGTAGGTACCACATGGACCACAGATTGGCAGTGAGGTCCCTGGAGTGGTTAGAGTTGTACATCCTTGATACATATCCTTCCCTCCTCTCTCCCACCTTCTCTTCCCTTGAAGCAAATGATGGTAAGATTTCAGAATGGGCCAAAAATAAATGTGAATAGGCACTAAACCTTAAACAAGTCTCTAAAAAGCCCTTTCTAAATGGATTCTGTTGAGACCGATAGTGTATTTACCATTATTTTCTAAACTTTGTCTTTTTGCTTTTTTATATTTTTACATTGTGTTCCGAGTGACAGTTGCATACCATTACGGCTTTTGCTCTTCAAGGGTTGCCTGTTCTTGCTGCTTATTTATAACCTAAGGTCTCTGTCATCTCTTTCTCATGTCAGGGAGTGTTGTATTGTGGTGGAGCTGAGCCAAGAATTGTTATTGTTGCAACAATGTGTTATGAGTGCACAGCACTATTCATCCGAGGCACTCAGCATGCATTATAGAAGTACTTGTGTTCCATGCTTTTAAATACCAAAATGGAAGAGGGTGCATGAAACATCGGTCTCATCGGTTTTCTAAACTCTATTTTAATGTGACCATCAGAGTTCTTGCTACCATTAATTAGCATCTTTCATACACTCTATTACTTCTTGCATCCCCATCTATGATGTGTAAAGAAAAAGGGATGAAGTAAATTGCAAAAGCAGAATTCTGGTCAAATATTATTCTCCATTAATCTGTTTGGTTGTTTTTTTAAGCAATTGGAATGCTGCCTTAACCCAATTAGAGTCTGAGCACTCTTGTGTACAGTGCCTGCCCCTCCGTTCTTGTTTTACTGATTAGGGGTGAACTGGCCATGGTTTTTATGGACTTATAACTTGCACCCCAGATTTCCAGTTTTTGCTGAAAGTGAAATACCACATGGATGGAGGGGAGAAATGAAATACAGTGGTACCTCAGGTTACAAACACTTTGCGTTACAGACACTGCTAACCCAGAAATAGTACCTCAGGTTAAGAACTTTGCTTCAGGATGAGAACAAGTAGAGAGAGTGCCATTGCATTCAGATCCTGCTTGAGGGCTACCCATAGTCATCTAGTTGGCTACCTTGATAACATAAGAACCAGAGACACAGAACAGGAATGTTGTTAGGGTACGATTCCTCTGCACTACAGCCTCCTTAGTCGAGCTGGAGGAGGTGGTCTGCAGAGTAAGCAAATTCACAGATGGCAAAAATGGGGAACAATTTCCTTCAATTTCCAGAGGAGGATTGAAATTCTTCAACTGTGGATCTGGCGAAGGCTCCTGGCTGAAACCCCATAGAGCTGCTGCCAGTCATTGTAGACAATGTAGATGGGCCAATGGTCTGATTAATCACCCTCTTATGTTCTTATGGTTCTAACCACTTTTCTGAATCTGCGTCTCTTTCACACATTAATCCTGAAGTAGAAACAATTCCAAAAACAAAGTGAGTTTGGTATCTCCTCTCAACTCTTCACTTCTTTCATGGTTGACCTGTTAAACAGATGCTGTTTATGTGCATCAGAAGCCTGGGTCTTATTTATTTCAAGACAACAAATGGCAGAAGCTGTTGCATTTTTTCTCTCCTCCACAAATGTGCTAGAGCTTCCCTTTCATGCCTAGGGTGTTCCTGTCACTGTATCCAGATGTTTTTGGAACCCGACCCACAACAGCCCCAGCCAGCATCTGGAGAGTCACAGGTTAGACCTTTTGATATACATAAAAGCAGCCAAAGGGGGCTGTTTTATTAATTTATTTAAAGTATTTTTATCCTGTTTTCTGCACCAGAGTTTAAGGTGGCTAACAACAATATTAAAACCTTGATACAAAGCCTCTCTGTGTGGTGCAAACTTCAAAGGATACCAGTGTGCATATTGGTTTGAGAAGAGTGAGTTAGGTGGTTTCTGATTAAAATGCAAGCAAAATCAAATTCCTCTCCCCGTTGCAAGTTGTCATGTTGAGTATTTAGAAGTTACATTATTGTATGGCTTTTATGCATTGTTTTTGTCTTGTTTTATTTTTTCATAAACCACTTTGTGATTTATCAAAGAGGTTAACTACCTCATGGAAAACTTTAGTAAAAGGCGAAAGATTTATATGATCTGAGGTGAAACCAGAGTAAATAAAAGCAGCAACAGCAAACCAAAGGGCATCAAGAAGGAGAGCCCATCCACCTGTACCTCTCTTGCACCAACCACTTAAAGAATCTTTCCAAACCATGTACATCCAGCAACTATTCACTCTGCCTAGTAGTGGTGTCAGCTCTCTGGACTCATTAAAAAGAAAAAAAAAGCAGCAAAATTTTTTAAAGGGGAGACAAAAAGTGGCAACTCAATCTAGTTTTGTTGATGATCATCATCATCAACAACAACAATAATAATTTTATTATTTATACCCCTCCCATCTGGCAGTGTTTCCTCAGCCACAGCAAATATAAAAGCATAATAAAATGTCAAACATTAAAAGCTTCCTGATACAGGGCTGCCTTCTGATGTCTTCTAAAAGCTGTATAGTTCTTTATCTTGTTGACATCATCTGATGGGAGGGCGTTCCACAGGGAGGGCGCCACTGCCGAGAAGGCCCTCTGCCTGGTTTCATGTAACTTCACTTTTCGCAGTGAGGAAACTGCCAGAAGATCCTCGGAAGTGGAATTCAACTTTTAAAACTTATGGCTCAAAGGCTTTCCTGGAAAAAAAAGTTTAAACAATATCATGAAAAGTCATTAAAGAAAGCGCAATGCATTCCTCTCTTGGGAAGGAGCTCTAGAGCCTGGGCAAAGCCACTGAGAAAGCAATTTCACTGTTCCCAAGCAGAAGTATTTCAGCAGGTATGAGACACACAAGAGTGCTTCCCATCAGATGTCAAGGAAATAAACTTTTAGAAGACATCTGAAGGCAGCCCTGTTTAGGGAAGTTTTTAATGTTTTATTGTGCTTTTAATATTCTGTTGGGAGAAACCCAGCCAGATGGGTAGGGTATAAATAAATTATTATTATTATTATTATTATTATTATTATTATTATTATTATTATATCAGATTTGAGTTGGCATGAAGGTTGTATAGTAAACAGTAGTCCTTCACTTATCATAAGTGGTATTCAACTAAGTGTTACTCAGAGTACACTAACTGAAATTAATGGATGGGACTTAGCCATGTTCATTAACTGTAATATGCTTCCACTGAGTGAAACTTATCTGAATACCACCCCCTGGACCTAAATAGTGTTGGGCTTTAATGCTCATCATCAGCACTCTGAATTGGACTCAGAATCATACAGTTGTTTCAAGATGGCAATTACATAGTCACATTGGCAGCCACTTCTATAAGCCTATCTGATTCAACTGTAGTTCCCAAGAATGGAAGGAAGGAAGGAGATAAAAGTTTAATTATATTTTTCTTGGCCATCAATCAAAACTTAAGTGACTCATGCACTGATGTTATTGATGACCCAATATAGAATAGACTTTAAGCCTTTTGTCACAGTAAGCTGGAATAATGCATTTTAAAGAGGCCCCAATAAAGCAAATGAGAGGCCTCTCCAGTAAATGCAGCCTTAAGATGACATCGGCCTCCAATATGGTGAATGACGGGCGCAAGCTGTTCTGTGGAAACAGATCTTCTCCCTCTCCTACTGCAGAAAGCGAGAAAATGTGCAGTAACACTCTGGGAGGGGAACAATCTCCTCAGACTTTGCTGGGTGTTGCTAGCTCCTATCACTCAATATGCAAAAATTGTACAAACATAGCAGTAAAGAAGTTGAACTCCAGTTTAAGTGTCGCCTGACAAGACAAACACATTCTGCCGCCTCTCTTCTTATCTTGTGAATGCTTTATCTCTGGGAGAGGGGAATAGCAGGTATTCTCCCTGTCTTTCAAATTCAGTCGTTGTGTGGAGGCTGACAGAATGCAGAAGGAGTGAGGAACGTTTAGGCACACAGGCAAAGGGAGTGTCAGGCTTCCAGAAGGAAAAAATGGAAGAGGATCTAAGAGCCAAACTACATGGTGAGTGGCATGCATGACTGCATGACTTGTATCTACTGTACAGGGGACAGTCCCCCCAGTTCTTCAACCTTGGGTCCACAGATGATTGTGGACAACATCTCCTATAATCCCCAGAAAACTTGGCCAATGGTAAGGGATGGTGGGACTTATGGTCCAACAACGCCAACCAAGAAAGACCGCTGTGTATGTTTAAGTCTGCTATCCGAAGGGCTCTCTGATCCAAGTCTGTTTTAAAGATGAAGAATGGGCCTTGAAGTTGCCCATCGACAAGCCCTGGGTAGTAGACCGAGTCACAGATTTCCTCATGGTTATGCTATATTTCTAATTATATGAGGTCTTTTTCAATTTCCATTTCTACATGTAAGTTTAGATGTACCCTATATTTATCTGTTTTTAAAGCAGCCATGGGGATGGATGGATCACAACTGAGGACCCCAACACACAGGGAGGAGAGCCAGTGTGGTGTAGTGGTTAAGAGCGGTAGACTCGCAATCTGGTGAACCAGGTTCGTGTCTCCGCTCCCCCGCATACAGCTGCTGGGTGACCTTGGGCTAGTCACACTTCTTTGAAGTCTCTCAGCCCCACTCACCTCACAGTGTGTTTGTTGTGGGGGAGGAAGGGAAAGGAGAATGTTAGCCGCTTTGAGACTCCTTAGGATAGTGATAAAGCGGGATATCAAATCCAAACTCTTCTTCTTCTTCTTCTTAAAGTTACCATGCTTGTGATGTGTCCCCATTTGTGGAAGAAATATGAAATCCCCACCCCACAAACTCACATATCAACCTTGCTTGTGCTACTCTCTCTGATTCTGAAATAGTTTAGAGTTGTGCAGTACCCTACATGTAAAAAGTGCTTAAAAATGCTAAGTAGCACGCCTCAGTTCTATAGACTTTACTGAAGTAAAGGCAGTATTTAAGAGATCTTCATAATCTTTCTCAGTTATCATGAACCTTAGAGCATTTATTCTACACATAGTTTTTTTTTAAAAAAAAACCACATTGGACCAGAAGATACCTTGCTTGCTACAAGCATTTTAAGAGAAATGCATTACCATCATAAACAAACAAAAAAAAATATTTGAACACAAAGTCATCACTCCTTATCCTTATCTATTCTCACTTCTACTATACACCATCTTTACCACCATCGTAATACAACTAACTTCATGTCATAGTAAAACCTTCTAGCAAAGCCATTATACTCATGCAGTGCAACATTATTTTAATAAACAGTGGCTCCTGCTGACTATAGGCTTATGTAGACTGTGTGCCTGAGAAACAAGTTGATATTTTGTTAGTGTGGTTGGGTTTCTGCATGGACAGTTGAGGTAGTGTAATATCCATCCTTTAAAAACCAGCAGCAAGGAGAAGGGGGCTGTGAAGGAAACTCTGTTCTTTGCCATTGTAGCATAGGGGTGCGGTCCAAGGCTAAATGCCATGCATGACCTTCAGACACAGTAGTTGATTCTACTGTTGTGCTACTCTTAGAGGGTACTAGAGAAGTATAGGAAATAGAAGTGGATGACTCCCTGCTCCTGAAGAAATCATAATGTACGTTAGAAGAATATGGCAGCTTTGCAGTGCCAGTCCTATCATGAGCCACACTGACCAGTGGAATTGAAGCTCTATCCGTGCCACCAGCCCTAGCCCTGGCCAGGCTGCCAGAATGATCAGATACCATTGTGACTGGGCACTTTGGCAAAGCCTGGCAAGATTTGAGGCAGATTCTCAGCTGTGCCTGCAGTAAGTAGCAACTGTCAGCAGTGACAGGTCCTGCCTGGTATTGGGTGGCAAAATGGTTTGGGCCAGCTCTGCCGTTTGGTGACCCCAACTTCTTTGCTGCAACCTCAAATGTGCAACCGACAGGAGTTGTTAGCATGGTTCAAATCATTCAGTTTGGGAACAGCACTATTCACCCATAATTTCTCAGCTGAAAAAGACTCATGCAATCTCTGCTTCTTTTCATGGCAACTACAATGCAGCAAAATCCTGTGGGTCTTAGAATGCAGGAGAGGAAGACAGTTCAAACCCCAACCACATGTCTGGATTCAGATTCAGGTTATTGGCCCTCATCCCACCCATTGCTGCCAGAAGACATTGGTTCAGTATTTGCATCCCCTGTATGTAGTGCTGAGTGCAGGGAGTTCTACTCATGCAATGCGATTTCACGTCCTCACCCAGTGCCCTCTTAAAATCTACTCTGGGGCATCCTACAACTCTACAAGGGAGAGGAGAAACAAAGCTCCATTGCACAATGGAAATCTATTACCCTTCTGGAATAACAATCTTGGATGCAACACATACTAAAGGCAAGGGAAATAGAGAAAGAATTTGACAGCCATTTAGCAGAATGAGAGGTTATGGTGTGTCTTTGTAGTGTGTGTTTGCTTCTCTTAAACAATAGTACAGTGGTACCTTGGTTCACAAACAGCTTAGTTGTTGAACAAATCAGCTCCTGAATGCCGCAGACCCAGAAGTAAGTGTTCTGGTTTGCAAACGTTTTTCGGAAGCCAAACATCCGACGCAGCTTCCGCTTGGGTGCAGGAAGCTCCTGCAGCCAACTGGAAGCCACACCTTGGTTTTTGAACAGTTTCGGGAGTTGAACAGACTCAAGGAATGGATTAAGTTTAAGAACCAAGGTAACACTGTATGTGCTTGCTGTTTTTCCAGTTTGTACACCAGTCCTGATAAAGTTGGCAACCCCTTTCTGACTTATCAGGATTCATCTTCAGTTTACAGTGGTACCTTGGGTTACATATGCTTCAGGTTACATACACTTCAGGTTACAGACTCCGCTAATCCAGAAATAGTACCTCGGGTTAAGAACTTTGCTTCAGGATGAGAACAGAAATCGTGCTCCGGCGGCGCAGCAGCAGCAGGAGGCCCCATTAGCTAAAGTGGTGCTTCAGGTTAAGAACAGTTTCAGGTTAAGAATGGACCTCCAGAATAAATTAAGTACTTAACCCGAGGTACCACTATACTAGCTCTCACCCAGTCCATGGCTTCTTGAAAACACAGTTCCAGCACTTGTGTAATAAAGGCAGAGAAAGAAATTGATGACAATTTGCTTCTACTACTTCCTGCCAGTCTTTTCTCTCAAGTGACATGTATCGGTTGGCTCA